TCTATACATACAAGAATAATGGACTTATACCCTGTTTTATCCATACATACAAGAATAAATGGAATACCTGCTTATCACATACATACAAGATAATGGAGTCTATAACATAAAGAATAATGACTTTATCCCGCTTTATTATCCATAAATGTCTTTATTGAAGTCTACCAAAACAAAAACGTCTTTGGAAAACACTAGTTGAGTTGAGTTTGGCTTAAGATATTTTCGTCTCTTTAGAATCACTCGTGGGAATGTTTACTACTGTCAAAGGACGCGAAACGTGGGTGTCTTTTATCCTCCCAGGGACTGCACCCTCATCCTCATCCCTGCTTCTCATCCATGTACTCTCATCGCTGTCATCTCGTCACCACACGCTCATCACAGCACTCTCGTCACTGTCATCTTATCACCACACGCTCATCACCACACTCTCACCACTGTCATCTCGTCACCACACGCTCATCACAGACTCGCCACTGTCATCTCATTACCACACGCTCATCACCACACTCTCACCACTGCCATCTCGTCACCACGCACTCATCACAGCACTCACCACTGCCATCTCATCACCACACGCTCATCACAGCACTCTAACCACTGTCATCTCATCACCACACTCTCGCCACTGCACTCTAATCCGAACACTTCCTCTCGCTGCCAGCTGTATCAAGTCCTTCGTAAACATCAACGCAATGACAACGAACACACGAACGAACCCGCTACCCCGACGGCGACACAGGTAGCAGGAACCCGGAACCTTGATAGAGCGACACACCCTGCGCTAACGATGCCACTTCGGTCCCGAGACGATGCAGCTCCCCTGATAAGATGGGATCGGCCATAGAGAGAGTTGAGGATGCCCATGTGTGGATGCCCAAGTGTGGATGAAAAGATGTGGATGAACAAGGGTGGGTGCTAAGTGTGGATGAGCAAGTGTGGATGAACAAGGGTGGTGCCTAATGTGGATGAGCAAGTGTGGATGAACAAGATGTGGATGAACAAGTGTGGATGCCCTAAGTGTGAGAGCAAAGTGTGGATGAACAAGATGTGGGATGAACAAGTGTGGATGCCCCGGTGTGGTATGCGGAGTGTGGATGCGGAGTGTGGATGCCCAGTGTGGATGCGGAGTGTGGGTTGCCTAAGTGTGGATGCCTAAATGTGGATGCCCATGTGTGGATGAACAAGATGTGGATGAACAAGGGTGGGTGCCTAAGTGTGCGATGAACAAGTGTGGATGCCCATGTGTGGATGCCCAAGTGTGGATGAACAAGTGTGGATGCCAAGTGTGGATGCCCAAGCGTGATGCGGAAGTGTGGGTGCCTAAGTGTGGATGCCAAGTGTGGATGCCCATGTGTGGATGAAACAAGTGTGGATGCCCAAGTGTGGATGCCCAAGCGTGGATGCCCAAGTGTGGATGCCCAGTGTGGATGCCCAAGTGTGGATGCCCAGTTGTGGATGCCTAGTGTGGATGCCCCAAGTGTGGATGCCTACTTCGGATGCCTAAGTGTGAATACCTACTTTTGATACCCAAGCGTGGATACCTACTTCGGATGCCCAGTTTGGACGCCCACCTCGAATATTCACCCCGGATACCCACCCCAGATACCCACCCCAAAATACCCATCTCGAATGCCCAATTTCGGGTAAGCGCCTCCCACTCCTTCGCCCATCGCCCCATAAAAGGAAGAGATTAGAGCGGGGTCTTCGAGATCGTCCTCCAGAATCTGCGGGGAGGAGGCGAAGGAGGAGGAGGAGCGAAGGAGGAGGAGGAGAGGAGGAGAGGAGAAGAGAAGAAGATAGAAGAAGGAGGAGGCGGAGAAGGAGGAGGCAGAGAGAAGTAAGAAGAAGAAGAAGAAGAAGAAAAGAAGAAGAAGGAGAAGAAGAGAAGGAGGAGGAGGAGGAGGAGAGGAGAAGGAGGGAGAGGAGGAGGCGGAGGAGGAGGAGGAGGAGGCGGAAGAGGAGGAGGAGGGGGGAAGGAGGGGGAAGGAGGAGGAGGAGGAGGAGGAGGAGGAGGGGGAGGGGAGAGGAGGAGAAGGAGGAAGCAAAGGAGGCGTAGGAAGGGGACCTCGCGCCCTCGGAGATGCCCGGCGCTGGCGAGGTTTTACGGGGGGTGGGGGGTGGGGGGGGAAGGGGTTCGAGGAGGTTTCTTTTTTTTCTTCTTCTTATTCTTTCTTGCTTTCGTTGGTGTGTGTGTTTGTTTGTGTGCGAGTGTTTGTTTGTGCTTATGTGTGTTTGTTTGTGTGTGTGTGGGTGTGTGAGTATGTGTGTGGGTCTGTAATTGTGTGTTTGTGTGTCTGTGTGTTTAAGTGTGTAAGTGTATGCATATGTGTATATGTGTATATATACATACATCCCCAGAAGAGTATTTCGGACCAAATGTGACAAAGGTAGAGAAAATTGCGTTTTTTTTTTTTTTGTTTACTCATCGAATATCACTTAGTTGTTGCAATATTCAGTTGAATCATTAGACTCGTAGAAAATTCCCGAATAACTGTTGATA